AAAGGCAAGCAGTAGAAATGCTTTGAGTACAGTCTCGCCACAGTTACTGACCACCTCATTTTCAGTAGTTACCAAGGCTGGATCTACGAGACGCCAAAACGTGGCAAAGAGAGCAGCTGAGGATACGAACGCACCACCTAGGTCCACCTTACCCGAACGGTCACAGTCAAGGCCTGCAACACTCGAAGTTAGCAGTGCAACCAGCACCGGCACTGTAAACGTCACTATACCTAGTCAAGTAAACCCAGAACCCCATGCTACTCCATGCGCCCACCTGGATCCCCCAGTGAGAATCACTGGGCAGAAACGTTAAAGAGCAGGGCATAAACGTTTGGAAAAACCACGTGGACAGGATGACAACTGCCACACATGTGCTCTCACTGTTACCGAAATTGATACTGCTTTTGAGTGCAACAGCTGCAACAGATGGGTGCACCACCGATGTGACAAAAAAGTGCCATATCAGTACTGTAGCTTAATGACGCGTCACCTGTGCACGTGGTTTTGGTACATTTGCCTACAGTGCCGTCTGAGACCGCACCTAGCCTCAGGACTACTTACAGTAACCGATAAATCCCCGGTAACGGAAAAGCAGGTATCCGTCCAAACCATTATCACAGAGGATATTCACTCACCAGAGGATTTTGGCGATAGCCTACTGAAGGTCGAAAAACTGAGGGGTTCTGAGCCCGGCAAAAGGCTGCCTACACCAACGGTAACTGCATCCACCTCAAGCCACGGAGCCGCACCAGAAACAGCAACCAGCGGACAACATAGAGAACGGGCCAGGGTGGAGAGGAAACTCGAAGCATCCGTGAGGAAGCACCTGTAGGATTGGATAACAATGGCACCACTGACCGATCTAGCTCCGTCATTCTGTTTAACGTTTCTGTCTGTGATGACAGCCTTCTGGAACATAAGGACAAGTTTGACAGGCAGCAGTGGAACTCCCTTTGTGCCATGCTACGTCTGGGCGCTCCCGAGGCAAATCTGTGTCGACTATACAGAGGCACCCACTTGCCCGCAGGGAAGCCTTCGCCGATAAGGGTGACTCTAGGCTCAACCAGAGAGGCTGGAAAGTTCCTCTTACTGTCACACACCCTGGTCATCAACAGATCGTCCAACATTACAGCCAGGCCTGACCGATCATGGGTGTCAAGAAAGACATCTCGAGAAGCAGCTGGTCCACTAAAACCCACGCCGTGGTCGCACATGGAATACCTGAAATGGTGACCGGTACCCCAGGTGAGAAGTACACACATGACGTCAAACAATGGGAGTGGTTATCGGCTCGGATGGAGCTGAGTGGGGTTGCAACTGAGGCAACTAGCAGAATGCCGCGCCCCTCGCATCTGATAACCGTGACCTCACCTAGGCTGATGGCTGTCAACTTTGAATCCCCAGAAGTACTCACCAGAGTGCTGGAGACGTGGTACAAAGTCAAGAGCACCATAAACAGTAACGTTTGCTGCTGTGAAAGCAGACCTTGAACACTGTGACAACAAGAGACAGCAGTTATGCCCTGTGCTCAGGCCACCGTAGCCCCGAGCCGAAACGTTGAGGGTCAGACCAGCGACCTCCGCTCAACACCGAATGCACCGGTCGATGAGGGAAAAAACTTAACTGGGCCAGTTCCATTGGAACTGGTCAGTCAGTAGAAACCCCCAACTCCAAACCAGTACCACTAGTTAACTCAGAGACATCTCACGTTACGAGAAGCACCTCCAAGTGTCTCTACGGCAACGTGAGAGGACTCCGAAGTAAAACGTCAGAGCTCCGATCCGTCTGTTTCGACCCCGTCTCGAAGATCATGATCCTGACAGAAACATGGTTGTCACCAGACATAAGTGACACCGAAGTTAGCACTGATGATATGATTGTGTTCAGGAGAGGCAGAGAACATAGGGACGGAGGGGGGTTGCAATATACATGAACAAGTGGTTCAGAAGTGAACAAACCATTGATACGGCACTGACAGAGCTCCCAAACTCTATTCGGTGCCACTTCACGGTCAAACACACCAGCTTCCTAGTTGGAGGAATCTATAGGTCCCCTAATAGCAACTCAGAACACAGCCAAAAACTACTCCAAGCAATATCCACGGTGTCAACTATAGGGTACGACCAGATTTTAATAGCTGGTGACCTCAACTCTCAAACCCTCAGCCTAGAGCAAGGTGGCACGACTCCGAGCCGTAAGTTCGACTGTAACCTGCTAAACGCCATCCAAATGGCTGGACTGCGGGAAAAAATCAGCGGCAACACCCTCTGGGGGTCGAAGGTAAACCATTTGAACTGGATTACCTACTGACTAGTGATCCCCTTCTGGTTGAAAACGTTCAGGTACAAACCCCTCTTGGAAGTAGCGATCACGCTATGATAACGTTTGACCTGGTAACCAGTGAAAAATTTTCATGGGAGGGACCTCGCCCTTACCTATGTTACAACAAGGCAAATCACGAAGGTATGAAAAAAAGCCCTTCAGCAGCTCTATGGCCGGTGAGATGGTGTTCCTTATCGATCGACCAGTACTGGGAAGTGGTAAAAGATATCATTGGGGCGGCCATCCCGCGAAACGTCCACTTGGCGTAACAACAACCAGAAAGCGAACGTCATGGTGAAAACGGGGCACTGAGCGCCTTCTAATAGCCAAGAGAAGGGCATGACACACATGGAGAATCTCCAGAGAACAGGACGACCATGACGCATACATAACTCTACGGAATCGAAGCAACGTAAGGGTGCGGGGAACAGGAGGTCGTTCCAGTCCAACCTCGCCGAGAGGCTTTAGGTAAACCCCAAAAACCCTTACCGATTCATGGCAAAAAGAAAATCGACAAGCCAAGAAGCATGTGTCATAAAAGGTTTGAACGGAAGAGTCCTCTCTGGACAGGAAATTGCTGGAATGCTGAGCACCACACTTAACACATAGCTCAACATTCCATCAAGGAAGTGCGCAAACCAACTGTACGAAAAGCCCCCAACGTTACCCGATGCTGCTGAGTTACACGAAATACAGATAACTCGCGCTGTTGTTCTCGACAAGCCATTAAAGCTAAGCGCGGGAGCATCCCCATGGTGCGACGACATCCGCCCATCTATGTTGAAAGAACGTGTAAGCACCCCAAGTGGCAAACTCTGCAACCTCTTCCAACACTCCTTGGATGAGCCAAAGCTTCCATGAGAGTGGAAACGGGCTATCTTTTCTCGCATCTTCAAAGGAGGAGACAGAATCCCAACTGTTATAGACCCATAGCGCTTCTACCAGTAATATCATAAGTAGGGAAAGTGTGATGGACGACCGTATCAGGGAATATCTTAGCAAAAAACAAGCACTCAGTGACGCTCAACATGGCTTCTGGAAGGGTAGGTCCTGTGCCTCCAACCTCCTGACGGCCCATGATCACTGAGCAGCATGCTGGGATCCAAAGGTCCTGGTCCACGCAATTTTTCTGGACTTCGCCAAAGCCTTTGACACCGTCTCACACACGGTCCTAATACATAAGATAGCTGAGTTGGGCATTCGCAGCCAGGTGCTGTCGTGGCTGCAGAACTATAAAGACAGTAGGGAGTTCCGCACGAAAGTCAACGGGGCCCACTCAACTTGGAGAACATCATCATTCCGTGTCTCACAAGGGGCAATCTTGGGTCCACTGCTCCTACCGTTCGTAAATGACCTGCCGCAACAAATCAGCCCCCCGATTCTCATATACGCTAATGATGTCAAGTCATAGAGGGCAATGATTTGAGAGGCGGAATCTGTGGCATTACAGAAGAACCTCAGAATGCTAGAGGAATGGGGAACTAATAGCTAACCGGCACTTGACCTGGATAAGTGCCGGTCCATGTTCTTCCGCACTCCTGACCTCCAGAAAACATCCTACTACCTCTGTGGTTCACGTCTATCCCATACCACAATAGAAAAAGACGTGGGTCTAACAGTGACGGAGAAACTGGACACCAGTTCCAATTACCCAGGTGATGTCTCAAAAGCATATGGCGTACTACACTTTGTGCGTAGGCAACTGGGTGCCCTCACCCCAGAACTCTTACTGAAGCTCTACAAGACTTACGTATGGCCCCACTTAGAGGCCCATAACGTCTTCGCTCCACCACAGCTGAAAAGAGGCGCGAACCTACTGGAGAAAGTCCAGAGGAGAGCCACAAAAGGGGTTGTCGGAATGCAACGAAAACCATGTGAGGATAGACTGAAAGGCCTAGACCAATACTCTCTGAGCTATCGAAGGATACGTGGCGACTTAATAATGGCTTATAAAATAAAGAGTAACCCGTCACCCAAACAGAGGAGTTCTACCCAGTGGCCACTACGGAGATCGTCGAGGTAACCCCGATAGAATGGCCGACCGAAGGTCAAAAATGCATGTGCGTTCGCGGTTCTTTTCCCTCCGAATCTGCGGGTACTGGTATGCACTACTAGCAGAGGTGGGCTCCGCCCCAACTATTGAAGGCTTCAAGAAGAGGCTAGATAGTCATGCAGAGACTCATGGTCTACCCACATATAGCTGGAACGCGAAGTGATGTCAAGCCACCCTGACCATTTTTCTTTCTATTGTATTCATTTATGCCCTTTTTACTCCTTCCACTTGCCATAAATTAACACCACTTACCTAAGTTCTTCATACCTTTGCACCCTTACTCACCTTACCTGAGTGTAAGTAGATTACTCCATTAATTCACTTTCCCTCTCTTCTTCTACTCACAAAAACACTTTCCAGCTTTTCTCATCACTATCCTAACCCTCTCTAGCTACCAGCCTGGCAACTCGATATCTGAAGAAGCTAACTGCACCACAGTCCAAGGCAAACAAACCAACAGTTGTAAATCAGAGCTACAGCAGCACAGTAGTTGGATCTACTGCATCAGAATCCGCCAAATACCTGAAGCTTTTCCGCAAGACCAAGAAGCGAGCACGAAGAAATCAACTGGCTTACACAAGCTCGTTAAAAGGATATTGGATATATATATATTGGGTATTAAAACATGTTATTTAGACTTCCGCAAACTTTTAAATCGTGCGTTGCTTTGTTGAGCTCGTGGTTAGTGAAGTGGTTTTAGATACCCATTTTAGCGTCGTTCTTAGCTGTTGTTTACGTTGCTTGTCTTATACCAGAAGCCTTTCTTTAAAGATAGAAACATGCAGACTTGAGCTTGAAAAAATGAAAACCAAAATTTGCCTACCTAAATTTACGTATGATCGTTTGGTGCACATTCATCCAGCCCTTCGCTGGAAACATAAAGCTAACATACACCGAACACTATGTCTCAGTTGGTTACTTCCTCGCCTATCATGCTTGAAAACCCTACGTATGTTATTGACGGTACTCATATATGAGTAAGAAACCATCATGTCCTATTTAGGATTCACTGATAAGATTAGTAGACCAACTGACTTGTATCAATCCTCCCAGTAGCTTTCTCTGTAAAGATCAAGACTCTTCTCGAATCCGTTCAATCAAGGAGTTGATACCACTTTTAGGTAAGGAGTTCCAGTCGTTGACCACTCTATGAGAAGCCGAAACTCACGCTAAGTTGATTCCACCGTGGTTTTCCGATTTTCTTGTGGTGGCCGCAAAGATGATCACTCTTTTGGACAGAAGACATAAAACATGCTAATCCAAAGGTTGTTGTTAAGAATGTGGAATGCTAATATTAGTTCTCTTCTCCAACTATAAGACGATGGGAAAATATATAGTCTCTCTAAAAGAACCTCATAGGATAAGTTGCACAGGACAACCAGCAACTTAGTGCTAAGTCTTTGAACATTCTGCAGTGCCCTGTGAAGCAGGAACTGGTTGTCTGAATGCAATATTCGAGATGGGGTCGCACAAATAGGGGTTACAATATCCGAAACATGTCTTCGTCAAAGTTTTTGAATGCTCGATAAAGAGACCACAATACTCAAAACCTTTTTGTCGCGGCTTCAATGCAGTATGCAAAAGTTCTCAAGTTATGACATAACTCCCAAGTGTTAAATTTCCTGAGCATCAGATACTGGTGTCTCATCTATCAAATACTGATGACAGCTGCTACAGCCAATATGCATGATTGCACCTTTGGTAGGATTAATTTCTAAACAACAATGCTTGGATCGATTGATTTGCGCACCTAGATCCATATGTAGTGCACGTGTGTCGTCATTGTTAGAAATGACCTATATTTCCATATCGTCGGGTAATCATAACACCGGTGACCTAATCATATCTAGGAGTTCATTGACATAGAGCAAGAAAAGGAGAGGACCCTAGATTGTCTCTTGCGTGACCCCACTCCTTACAGAATGCCACTTATTTGGTGTGCCATTCACTCTTTGTCTCCTACAGCATACAAATTCTTTGATCCAAACCTGCATTATTGTATCAAATCCGAAACTTGAGAGCTTCACTAGCTGTGTGCGAAACTTTATCGAAAGCCTTACTGAAGTCAGTGAACGTAATATCTACGAGTGCCTTGTTGTCACGATTTACTACCCACTTCTCTCTTGGTATGAAGAGGTAAGTTAAGCAAAATCGACCAGCATGAAACCTATGTCGTAGAGGAGTGAAAAGACTATGGTTTTCGACATGGATGAGCATTTTACCTCTGGTAATCTCTAATAATTAGTACATATTAAATATATCAGAAAGTAGCATAGAGATAATGTCAGCCAAGAAGAATAGTATAAGTGTAAAACTTGGGTACTGTTGTAGAATTTAATTCCATATTAATATGATTATGAGCAATCATTTATGCTCGAAACATCAAGTAAAAAGTACTGTATTACTGTGTGTTATAAATCAAGTAAGCAAACGTAGTATGGAAAAAATGATAGTAGCCTTAGATACAATTTATCAGGACCAGGGAATTTCGCCGGCTTAAGGTTGCTGAGCGGTTGGAGGACTACATCTCTCGTGATGTGCATTGGGCCCAGTGTTGGGACATTTTCGGAAATATTAGTCGGAGTAATAACGTCTCAGACTACTGAGAAGATTGTGCTGAAGCAGTCGGGCAGACACTCAGTTTTGGACAGATTAGACTCAGCCATCTCTTCTAAATCCTCAGCTGATAGAAGAGATGGGACTCCATCCTTACACTTCCTTCTCTTTTCAGTGTACGAGGGAAACCATTTTGGACAGACCTAGCAGTCGATCGCAAGCTGCCTTTCTTTTTTTGTTCTCAACGAATTCTTTAAATCCTTACTGCTTGTTTTTGAAAATGGGTACCCCAGTCGTTTCCTCCTCAGAATTTTCAGGGTACTCTTATCAACCTATGGAGGGTAGTGAAAATGCCTATATGAAGTTGACCCTGGGATATGCATTGAGGTTGCTTTGTCAAATGTACTCCTAAATGTTTCCCAAGATTCCTCTACAAATATGTTACTATCCACAGTCCAGTTTCGTGTGATTGCACACTCTGATAGCTGGCATATCTGCACAGCATGCACTCCGTCTAGCGAGGACGGATTCATAATCCAAGTCGTATGTGTGATACTTAAGCAGTACTACATGATCTCTATTGGCTAGTATAGGTAAGTGTTGGAGGTTAGTTTCTTCCTCTCTTTGGTGTGTTAAAACCAAATCTAAAAGTGGTTTTTGCTCTAGACCAAAACGCGTTGCACTAACGGCGTTTTGAACCAAACCAACCCCTAGAACTGATAAAAGTAGATATCTATCAAAGCAAGCCCTTGAGTCCGGAGATGTTAGCTGCTCCCAGTTAGTGTGAGGTACATATAGGTCACTTTTCATCTGGCATTCGTTGCTACTACTCAGTCCACTTATATGGTTCAGGACGAGGTCGTTTGCTGTGCAGCATTGACTTCGGTATATTACCCCGACTTTGATTACGTCATCAAGCGGGTTAACATCACAGCTAATTAATTCACCTGTACTGCGTTCGTTTGATTCCGTGTAAGATGACCTCATATTTAAATCTTCATGGGTGTACTGTAGAATTACTCCACCATCGCGACTCTACATTGTCAGCCCTAATGTAGGAGTACCCATGGAGAAGAGGAGTAGAATCCATATTTATAGAAGCATTCGTTTCCAAGACCTTACTATCCAGAAGCACTAGTTTTTTATTCTCTAGTCTCTTCTCTTTCCGGGCCTTCAGTTCCGTAGGGCAGCCCGTTTCTTTATTCTACCCTCAAGAGAACAGTCCAGACTAATACAAATATTTGAGTCATGCACCTTGTTTGCGTAACCCAAAATAGTATCCATCTTTTTCCTAGGACCATTTTTAGTATTCTCCTTAATTCAGGTTCACTTTCGTCACGTCTGCCTATTCTGACCACCTTGAAGGTACGTATTTCAAGTGACATTTCTGGTAGTTTGTGCCGAATAATACTCTGGACTAATTGCAAGTCGTGACCATGACGCTTAGTGGGGTTTATATCTTTCAGTTGTTCAACATTCCAGAGGATAACACTAGATGATAGGTGAGTGTCCCTGGGTCTCGTACTGATAGCTTTTGAGCCCTTTCCAATTGGTTGCGCTACATTAGCATTTAAAAGCTTCTTCAAGCTCTCTTTGGTTTAATCAAATCTACATCCATCGTCAAATAATAATTGTTCGTCTCACTGCTGGGTTTCGGGTGGCTAGTTGTTTGTAACTCAACTACTCCACTTACACTCTTTGAGGTTCTTCTTACAACGAGTTCGTGTCCTACAAACTGGAGTCTCTAACTCTTCCAACTCACTCGCGTTTTTTCTAACGTCTGTTTTTCTAACTAGTTCAACTTAAATGATACTGGATGCGTCGTCTGAAACACCATTCGATGGAGCAGAAATGTCTACCCTACTGGGTGGGTGCTTCTTTTCTACTACAGAATCAACCGCTTTCTGGATGGTGATAGACATTGGTTTGAGGCAGAAGTTGCACATCCACCTGAAGGTAGGCTTACTCCAATGTTTATACTCAGATGACGTTAGGCCAGTGCACACAATATGGTACCAACAACTGCAGTTGTTACGTAGGCATTCTTAAGGCTGAACATTTTATCCACGCCAAATACAAATAGTCACTGAAAGTGGTAAAGCAAAACGTTAGAAGTACGCAAGCTGTTGCGAAACAATGCAGGATGAAAATGTAAAAAGAACTTTTCCAACACAACAGAGAAATTTCAAGTTGGTATTCGTCGTAGACTGACATCAGCAGGAGAAACAATGGAAACTTCGAAACACTGGACAGCTGTTTCGACCTAGTATGGGGCTCTTCGGCAGTGCGCACCCACGACTCCACGACCTTCAGATTCCATGGCCAGCACATTACCATTGAGCCACTAGGTTGGAACCTAGTGGTCCATATTTCCAACTTCTGTCAGTTCACGATAGAGCGCGACCGCCACCCAGTGTCATTTTTGAGTATCTGTCCTCATAGCCACTAGATTTTCCCCGCTGATCACGACTTCTCACTGGAACTTCGGGGATCACCTATCAAAGCTAGTCGCCAATAAGCACTAGTTCAACTGAATTTGGGAGAGAAGTCGTGACCAGTGGGGCAAACCTGGTGACCGTGAGGACAAATACTCAACGATGACACTGGATGGCAGTTGCACTATATCGTGAACTGATAGAAGTTGAAAATATGGACCACTGGATTCCGACCCATTGGCTCAATGGTAACGTGCTGGCCACGGAATCTGAAGGTCGTGGGTGCGCACTGTCGAGGAGTCCCATACTAGGACGAAACAACTGTCCAGTGCTCCCAGGTTTCCATTGTTCCTCCAACTGATGTCAGTCCATGGTAAATACCAACTTGAAATATCTCCAAGTCCCCCCAACCCCCCAAATACAAACGAGAAAAAGACGTTAAACGCTGAAAATAGACTCGAAAAAAGGTAAAACGCAAACTTTAACTGAACTAATCCAAGTTAACGTTTATCCTAAAGCTCTCAATGTGATTTACACAACAAAAGCTGAATTTGTCAAGAACGAGGAAAAATTCACATGTTATTAAAGTTGTAAGATTAGTCGTGTGTTGACCTGTCAAAAATGTAGGCCCTATGCTCTTCTACGTCGGTCCTATCAAACGCACGTCTGTAAGAAATTAAATGTTTTCTATTCTACATCTCTATTTAGTAAGAGTTTTGCGTTTGTCCGTTCGTCTCACGAGTATTAGCGGTATAGTCTGCATGCATTACAGCATCAGGCTTTCCGTAATGCTGATGAAGTAATATACGACGGACAGCATGGTGACATGCAACATGAAAATATGCCTTTAACTTCATGTTTTCTCCATTACTACAAATCTTTAGTCGACGTCTGGTGAACTACAGACATTTGACCTCTTCTCGTTCTCCGCATTGGAGCTGTGGCTTAGTGGTTTAAGATGACTAGCAACCGTTGGGTCACTGGTCCGAGCCTCGCTCCACCTACTTAGGTTTGTGCAGCCTGATAGTATCACTAGCCCTCACACAATATGTGTGGCTCATTGCCTACTGCATGAATCTACACATGGTGGCTAAGTGCGTTTCGTTCCTTCGTATCCCAGGGTTTTATTTGCTTGCAAATTAAAAATGCCTAAACTCGTGTTCCACATTTTTAAGCAAACCCAACATTTCCCATATGATTTATGGTTTAATCATATGTGTTTATCAGCTAAAATTAAATCTTCATGCTTAACTGTGTTGTGTTTAGTGAATTCTGGTTGTTTTATATTTTACAGGTTCTACTTTTTTAATCTGGTTCATGTTCCCTATACATTACTGATCCATTATTTAAAACCTGTATTTGTAAGTAATCTACAGTTTTATCATGCCGGATAGTTGTGCACCTCAAGCTTCGGCTAAAGAGCGTCTTCGAAATGTAAGTTCTACCTTAAATATCAGAGTATTCCCTTCCACAATATAGGTTGACATATCCAAGTACAACTATTTCACACAATTCCCTCTTTCAAAAGAAACGCTAAAGGGATTAAAAATGTCAGGTTATACAAAGCCTACTGCTGTTCAAAAGTTAGTACTGAAACCTGCTCTCCTTGGATCAGATGTGGTCGTTGAAGCACCTACTGGCAGTGGTAAAACTATAGCTTTTCTGGTCCCTATGCTTGAACTACTTTATGAATATAAAGCATCTATGTTAGACGGTCCAGTTGCTATTATTCTTACACCAACTCGAGAGTTGTCGCGACAGATTTGCAGTGTATTGGTTAAAATTGCTCGTGAACACCGTTTCACTATGATGAATATTATGGGTGGAAAAACTGCGGTAAATCTGCTTAACTTTATATTAGAATTCTCTCCATTCTCTATTTCAGTCTATTTTGGGCTTATTGGTCTAAACAGTTGACTTTCAAACAGTGGGTCACTGGCTTGAACGTCGCTCGATATACCCTGGTTTGAGTAACCGGGCGAGTAGCATTATTCACATTTAATGAGTGTCACTCAATATCTAGTGAAAAGATTTCCATGTGGTTGTTGAGAGTTTGTTCTGACCGTATATTTCTTGTTTATAGTGAAGTTTAAAACTGATCAAGTAGTCAAAGCCTAGTTGTGGCTAGAAAACAGATAACTTTGGAGTGTGGAGTGATATATGTATATGTTTTATACTTTAAAGTCTATCTAACTATCAGTGCTCTCCACATACATCAGTACCATAGAAAAGTGTAACTTACTTGAATGCTTGTTAGCCTGCATACGTTCTACTTGACTCTGTGATATAGATATTTGATATTCATTGGTTGGTTTGGTGTTTTATTTATCGAAATGTGGTTATTGAAAGCTGAGAACATAGGGTTTCAGCTTACCAATCATCACTACCTTATTAGTATTAGTGGAGTGTGATGGAACTACCAGTGACGAGGCTGAGCATAATGAATCAAATTTCGGAAGCGAATCATTGATTTAAGTTGCTAACCTCTACTGACAGGTCGCTGGGACCCATGTTACTTGTACGGAGCCATTACTTACCCCAACATCATGTTAGTTGGGGTATGATTGCATCGAGAAAACCTGGGGTTGGTTCAATCAGGGCACATCAATCTTTATTGTTTCGGACTGTTGTTCTTAACTATGTGGAGGAAATATTGGTTTCCGGATCATAGTTGACGAGGTAACCAAGAGAATTGACTGGGAACTTTGAGTTTTGTGGCTCAAAATAATAGCAATGAGACATATGTATGCATACATATTTATTCTTCATCTCAATCTTACTGCAGTCATTTATAGCAGATCCTACGCTGATAAATTCTATTTATTTGTATATCTACCTCCTTTTAAAAATGTTGTGACCGAAATATATTCGAATATCCTGTTTTTCTTCTATAGGCTTTAAAAAATCAAGAATGGCATAGTATAGCAAGAGCTAACATTTTAGTTGGAACTCCGGGTAGAATGGCTCAACATCAAACAGAGAATTCACTGTTAGACACGTCTAATTTACGGCTGCTTATCTTAGATGAGGCTGATCGATTGTTGGATCCAACTTTCAAACAAGACTTGGAGATAATTCTTCAGAATTTAACACCTGATAGACAAACTTTATTGTTTTCAGCTACCTTAACAAAGTAAGTTTAATATGAATACTGCTTTTTCATGACTGGTTGTATAAATTGGTGTAATTAGATTACCCAGCATATATCTCATTTCGTCTGCCACACCCCCTTGTTACATTCTCATCGTGCCGAGTTCCTACTGCCTATAATGCAGTGTAAGGAAAGGCATATTTTTAAAACGGTAAAGGACATCTAGATTACTGTCTGACTAAAGAACATAATGTAACTTCTTATCAGATTTGCTCATTTTATGTGGTACACAGTGGTATAGCTTTATTTGCTGTGCCGCTACGCGCTATATTTTCTGTATCTGTACATTTTGTACCATTTCCTTTGACTTCTACTTTTTTCACCACTATTTGTGCCGTTGTTCTCGTTTAATCTTTCCTTTTGTTGACTCTTCATGTCTATGCTCATATGAAATGTAATATCTTAGACTTTTACCCAGTTACGCTCATTTCCTTACATCTCTGAAATCTGTCAATTATCCTCTCGGTAGCTTGTACCTTTAAAAGTCTCTCTGAGTTACATTTGGAAGCAAAAATGGAGTTTCTCTGAAACTGTCTCTCATTGATTTTGGATATTTAGCTTTCAAGAAATCAGCCATATGTTCAAGTTTCACTCCACCTGCCTAAGTTTGCGTAATCCTCGTACAGTAGACGTTTTTGGTTGTTGATTTTTTTTTCAGTTGCATGATGTGAACATTGTTTGAACGGAATTGATCGGTCATCATTTGTATGTGAGCTCATTGAGTAGACAGTGGAATACATCTAGCATCTTCATTTCTTTTCTGCTGATTATTAATTATTTACTTGTTTGTCACAGAGCTACAGATCAACTTGTTCGTCTGAGTATGCGTAATCCAGTGACTGTATCAACATGCAAAACAACCACGAGTCCAGAAGATCTGCACACACCAGCTGAACTACTTCAGTACTATGCTATAGTTCCATTAGAGCAAAAGTTGGACACACTTTGGACATTTCTACAAAGTCATTGTAAGAAAAAGATAATTGTATTTTTCTCGACACAGAAACAAGTAAGTTAGCATATTGTCATTTGTATGTGTTTGTTTGGTTGTGTTAGTGATAAAATTTTGACTACCACTACTGAAAATACCTATCAAGACATTAAAGAAAACGAGAAGGTTAGAGAAGGTATCTTTTTGGTAATAATTGAACAAACGTGTATAGATTGTGATCGTACAGCTGTGGAAAATGAAATTGCCTAGAAAGATATCTTTGCTGAAATTCTCCTTTTCTTTAATACATATTTTTTTGTATAACTGATGAGTCACACTAGTTACAATCATTTAGACTGATGCTTATACGAAGATATCCTAGTTGATAGTCCCCTTACTAATATAGCTGTTCGTTTCAGCTATCTATGGAATCTGAGCTGTGGTTCGACAGTTTAGAGAGATAACTGTCAACAACTGGGTCATGGATTTAAGCCCCGCTCCCGTCTATCTGGGTTTGGGCAGCCAGGCAGTATCACTAGTCTTCACACAAAAGCTGTGGCTCATTGCCTACTGTATAGATGTGCAAAAGGCGGAATAGAATGTTGTATTTCTTTTAATTACGAATCATTCCTATAATCCAGCCTCTAACTTTGCTTCTACTGGTGAAACGTACCTATCACATGCTCAATTTCTCATCTTCTAGGGAAATATACTACTGAACAACTTGAGTAGTTAAGAACTACTCGAACTGATCTGTAGTTCATGACACTTTCATGTTAGAGATCACACCTTGTTATCTAGATTAGGTGGTTCCCAACGGAAACCTTGTTGACTACCACAGTTGAGCAGTGGAAAAGCTACTCAGCTGTGAAAAATGTTAATATGGATCGTCTACCGTGTAAAACAATTTCAAATTGAGCATCCTATTCTCATCTCTTCTTTTTTTGTTGGCCACGTTCTGCAGCCATAGAATACTATTAAGGACACACCTATACCACACTTATGGTTACACCAGTGTCTCGTTAATTGTGAACAAACAAGATCAACATAGGGCAAGGCATTACTGCTTAATGGTTCAAGTTGGCAAGGACTCTTTCCCATTACAAACGAACCATGCATTCGATTACCAACTACTGAGTGGAGTGTTCATGTGCACTAGATCTCCTGCTGTCTAAGCAATCAAATAGTATCATTAATACTCACGCAGTAATTACAGCTTAATATACACACTCTATGGAACTGTGAATCTCAAATATGCTTTTATTATTTATTGTGGTCACTCTTTATTATTTCATCTACTACATTTACAATGTATGCTCACATTTAACATGAGACTGTGCATAGTAATCTTTCTATTATCAGTGTAATTTATGAAACATGGTCCTTGAGAACAACACTACACCACAAATCTTCACTGTATGTATGTGTGTACGCAAACTCACGATATGAAATGGCTTTCCCCGGATTAGCTTCATCGACTAGGCAGTTTTAAGTTCAGATTTTAGATTTCTTGGATCTTTAGGTAAGGAAGAGACTATCAAGAGTTTTCGGTATCTTGATCTGACAATCGTAACAGGTTAATTGTTTGTCATGGTATATTAGAGTTTTGTTTTCCACCTTAAGAGAAGCTGAGGACTTTTACGCCTTATGAATCTGAAAATGGCGTACAGCAACTATCCAGCATCTTTTTCCTATTTCTAGTGGTCGTTTGACTGATATACCGACTTGTGGCAAAGTAAAAAACCTCATCCATCTTGATGGTATTCGATCCTCTGAGCTGGATGGTTTAATCGTGAAGATTTCATTATCATTCCAGACGACATCATCAGCACAAACTTCAGAAACAAGTGAGCTATGGGGTTTCCTCCGCAGGTGGTGTAGTAGCTTGTCCTGATGGCCTTGTATGTGATTGGTTCTTTCTCCCAAGGTTTTGTCATTATCTTCAGATTTCTTTCGACTGGTTGTCCTTCTGAAGTGAAATTTGACCTTCTGTGTTGTTTCTTACTGGTTGACAGGTTGAGTGAATGTCAATATGTCTGTTGACCGCTGACTGACCTGAATGCGAAGCTTCTAAAAATTCTCAGTTATTCTTTGAATTTCCTCTATCCGGTATTTTCACATTTTCCCAGTCAAATCCATGTCCATAGTTTTGATATGAGCAAAGATGTGTCATGAACTCTTCACTGCGGGTTTGGGGGTTTGTGGGAATTTAGAGATTTCTCAAGTTGGTATTCATCATGGACTAACATCATTTGGAAACCTGGGAGCACTGGACAGCTGTTTCATCCTAGTATGGGACTCTTCAGCAGTGCGCACCCACGACCCCACCAGCGACCGAACCCGCAACCTTCAGGTTCCGTGGCCAGCATATTACCATTGAGCTACTGGGTTGAAATACAATAGTCCATTTTTTCAACTTGACTGGGAAAATGTGAAAATACCGGATAGAGGAAATTCAAAGAATAACTGAGAATTTTTAGAAGCTTCGCATTCAGGTCAGTCAGCGGTCAACAGACATATTGACATTCACTCAACCTGTCAACCAGTAAGAAACAACACAGAAGGTCAAATTTCACTTCAGAAGGACAACCAGTCGAAAGAAATCTGAAGATAATGACAAAACCTTGGGAGAAAGAACCAATCACATACAAGGCCATCAGGACAAGCTACTACACCACCTGCGGAGGAAACCCCATAGCTCACTTGTTTCTGAAGTTTGTGCTGATGATGTTGTCTGGAATGATAATGAAATCTTCACGATTAAACCATCCAGTTCAGAGAGCCAAATACCATCATCTTTTAGAACTACAAATGTTCTCGATCATCTCAAAACCGCATCCATTTTGTAGAAATATCTTAACCCTAAAACTCTAAGTATTCCTTATGGGTTTTGTGAAACTTTTATCAATGAGGTAAAGCGTCATAACATTTTTTTTATTACTGTACCAAGTAAGTGAAAGTCTTATATAACTTATTAGTTTCGTAGCGTTAGTAAAAACGCGCCGCACCATAAAGAGGATCAACTAACACCTGACTGAGAATAAGTAGTTATTCCTGCTAACCTTTCACCAGCAGTAAAACTATCATCAAAAATATTTACTGTCTGTGTATGCTGTTAGCATGTCTTTAGTTGTAGTGATGTGGTTTTGACTCATTGGTCTGGATGTTCAATTTTTAGCCACTGGGTGACGGTTTTTAATTCCGCTTCACCCACTACTGACGTTTTCATTATCAGGTAGTCATTAGCTTTTACATAACAGATGGGACTAATTTCCTATGTCATGAGCATGCACATGGTTGCTAAGTTGCATTTTGAAATAGTGGCGAATATTTGTAGCTCAGGTGGATGGTTTTGGCTGTATTGTGTTCTCTGAGCTGAGTTGTCTAATCGTGAGGCTTTCATCGTTTTTCTAGACATCATCAGCACTAACTTCCGTATGAAGTGAGCTGCCAATATTTCTCCGTGATTGATTTAGTAGCTTTCCTTAAGAAAGCGGACATTCCATCAAGTCACCAACAGAATTCTCAGAAAAGATCGAAAGCAATAATATAGAAAACGACTAATTAATGGTATCCTTCGATGTCACAACACTACACATCCATCGACCCCAAGTGGACAAAGAAAGTATGTCTCTCCTGCTCAATGAAGACACAAGCCTCTCGGAACGCACAAAACCTAAATGCTCAAGTATGATGAAACTCATCGACCTCCATCTGACAATATACTCCCAATTCAATGGCAAGATAGACAAACTGATGAAAGGAATTCCAATGGGGTCACCGATATCCGGACTGATTGCAGAAGCAGTGATGCAGGGACTGGAAGCCATCATTCTACCTGTGATCAAACCAAAAATTTGGATTCGCTATGTGGACGACACTTTTGTCATCATTAAAAAGATGATATAGAAAACACCCACAGTTTGATCAACAACATTTTCAATGACATCAAATTCACAATGGAGGAGTCAAACAACCAAGTATCATTCCTGGATGTTTTAGTCAGTAGGAAAAATGCCGGAAAGCTGGAAGCTGACACACACTGATCAAATCCTCAACTACAGTAACAAAAACCGAACAACTCACAAAGTTAGTTGTGTGCAGACTCTATTCAAAAAAGCGAGAACACGCTGCAGTACAACAACTTCATGGAGAAACGAAGAAAATTACTTGATGCGTCTATTCTAAAGAAAAACAGCTACCCACGAAACTTTATCAGAAGATGCCTATACCGTACATTATCAACTATAGTCATCGACAGAAATCAACAAACGTATCATCCTACCGTACATAAAGAATATATCAGAAATCACGACAAGATTACTGAGACCACTTGGAATTGGTGTGGCCACTCATTAATCAACAAATTCCCTCCAAACACTATTATGCAGATCAAAAAATGCAACAACCAAAGAAAACAAACTGAACATCATTTACAAAATCAACTGCAGTCAACACTACATTGGACAAAATGGTCGCCCTCTTCACCTTCGTTACATGAACACCAATTGGCTATTAAACGTCACGACATTTCATCGCTCATTTCAGTGCACGTGGATAACAACTATGGACATACATCCACTTTTGACATTGTAGAAATCTTGGAGAGAGAAAACACAAAGAATATCATAGAATAGTACAATTGTTTTGATATCATTAATATCAGAGAACTCCTAGAAGCTTGGCATCCAGGTCAGTCAGCGATGAGTAGATGTATAGACTAGACCCGGTCTATCAACCAATGAGAAAAGTGATAAACGACAGAAAGGTGAGAGGTCAAGCAGAGAAACAGCCAACAGAAAAATCTATTCAGTCAATGACACAACAATCAAAGGAAACAACCAATCACACACCACTTCGTCAGGGCAAGCTACTAAACCACTCACGGAGAGATATTGACTGCTCACTCCATACTGAAGTTAGTGCTGATGATGTCGTCTAGCAAGGCGATGAAAGCTTCACGACCAAACAACCTAGCTCATGGAACACAATACAACCAAGTTGCATTTCTTTTTCTCCAGTCAGATTCCCTAACTATAAAGCGCACGCACAAACTATCTGATCAGATTTTTTTTTTCAAAATTTAACATTGTTCAGAACAGGTGTTTATCCAAATTTTATTGGCTCTTGAATAAGTATCTAATTAGTGCGTTTTTTTCCTTTCTTTTTAATATCTTAAGGTTCGATATGTGTATGAATTATTTCAACAACTTAGACCATATTTTAAAGTTCTACAACTTCGTGGTAATATGAATCAACGGAAGCGTTTTCAAGTCTATGATCGTTTTGTCAACTGTCCACAAGGCTCAGTTCTACTAGCCACTAATCTGGCTGAACGTGGTTTAGGCAAGTGTTGATGTTGGTTGATATACATTACTTATATGAAGGATATATTTAGGCTGAATAAATGACTAGGCAGTAGCTTATTTTAATGTAGGTTTGCCTCCTTGTTAATCTTTCTGATATCGCACTAATAAAAAAGTTAAGAGACTCAACTTTCGAATATATTCACTTATCCAGTATTTTGGTTGACTGTTGTGTTGTAAACGGTAATGAAGTGTTTGGTGATAGTCACATCTGTCGTATAAAGAGTAGTGAACTGCTGCTTGTCTGATGAGTATTCGACATCGAAGTAAATTAAGAGAGTAAATAATTTAAAGATAAAGGTCTATGCGAATATTCAAGCCTTAGAAAATATCACCAAGAGTCGTCAACCACTGATTCCTTTCGTCTCGGGGATTCCACTCAGGTAGTCTACATCTCCTTATACTGCTCAGATCAACAGTCAGAGACTTCATCGACTGATGCCACGTCTAGGTCTACCCATCCTGAACCGTCTTCCAACCTAGTCCAACTTCCCTCAGCATAACACGTCGAGGTAGGCGGCAACTCGCCATACCCAACACATGTCAAAGCCACCTTACTTCAATCGACTTCCCTATCTTGCCTAGTACCCTTCACCTGATCTCTACATTATTCACACCGTGATTCCACTAAACGCGAGTAAAGCTGCACAGACACTTGTGATCAAAACTTTGTAATCACTTTATATCTTCTGCTTTCAATTTCTATATCTCATAGCTGTATAACAGGACAGAACAGACTACACAGCAGTATAACTGTCAGTCAACAGGTAGTTAAATATCTCATCAGCGTCAGAGATTATGCAAGTTGGCAAGTGCCAGACAAGCCCTCTGTATCTCCGCTGAAATTTCGTAAGCAACCAACCCGTTCGGGCTAATGTAATTCTCAAAGTAAGTGAATTGGTCGACATATTCTACCACTTCACTCCCTACCACTAAACTAGAAATAGTTGCAGAAGACTAGTCCAAACATACTCAGGTTTTCGTTCAACGCATTCAACAGACCCTGGATTTTGTCAGCGTCTTCATCTACCAAGACAAGTCAAGCAGATAACCTCTAAAGAGTTTGTCAATCCCTATGAAGTCAGAATGATGCAAATGTACATACTCTTTGTTCCCTCCAAAATTTCAGATATTTTATTAACCTCTGTCTCTTTCTGTTTTCTGCACTTTCGTCTACTTTCACATCTTTTCTGTTCGTGTTTCCGTGAAGGATGACAGCTTGAAATGATGCACTTTTGTGCCAGATTTTACACTGTTTATGTGTTTTTAACTATCACAGTATTTTCAATAAATAGGTCGTGTTTGTTCTTTAATTGGTCTTTCCTCGCTGTCAACTTGTGACTTGCATGGTTTGGCTGATTTCAAAGTAGAGAACTGTTGACAAGCTTGAAGCTCTAGACAGCTGTTCGGTTATTGTTTGGGACTTATCAGGAGTGCACATATTTCCACATTGTTAAAGCACTCTTACTAAACTGTGACAAGAGAGGATACAACAAGAATAAGTACTAACCCTATTTTGTTTTGTTTGGTTAATCGATGTAGAATCAGCGTTTCATTGTAGTCACGTACAAGCTACTCAGTGAAATTGTGGCTTTCGTGCCCTGGTGACCTAGTAGATTAGGCTTAGGCGTTTGAAGCGATGGGTACCAGATTCAAATCTCATTGGGAACAACATCACTCACTAGGATGCAGGTACATTCAGCTGATGATTCCTAGATAGGATGAGATGCGCATCTTGGATTCCACTGCGAGTTACCAAGATGACGTTGTGGCTCATTAGTCCAGGCACTTGACCTACAACCAACACGTCGTGGGTCCGAACCCTGCCCGACTTATCGAGGTCTAAACAGCCAAGTCGTATGTTTACTCCTCACCTAATTGTTGTGGCTTATTGCACCGACCATATGAAAGTGCATGTGATTGCCGAGTGCATTTTGTTTCTTTTTCGACATTCCACTCTGAATTTCATCAGGATGAATAATTTTCATCACCTAGTGATGGTCGAAACCAAGTTGTAATATCACTGTAAATCACATTGAGAATTCCAATTCCAATTTCATATATATCTCAATAGGCGATAGATACTTCGAATAAATGCTAAAAATAACCGTTTCATTTTAAACAACCAATAATTTAATTTTTTTTTTTTCAGTATATGCTGAATAAATTTATCTTGTTCATTCTCCATCTCTCTTTATCTAGATTTTCCCAGTGTTCATTGGGTTGTTCAGGTTGACTGTCCCCATCATATTGAAGATTATATTCATCGTGTTGGTCGAACTGCTCGTCATGGACATGTTGGACGTTCACTTTTGTTTTTATTACCATCAGAAAGTAGTCTTGTTGATATCCTCGCCAGACGATCTGTAGTTCTTAGACCAGTAAAGTAAGTTGTTTTTTTTCTAAATCGAACTTTTCGTATCGTTTTCCATTAAACATTGGTGTTTGAAAAGTGGAATAATAACTTTTGATCCATCTCTGTGCCAATTTACATTGAGCTTTCTTTTTGTCAGCCGATGTGTTGATTAGTAAACTCTTCATGGTAGGTAAAAGCATATGTAAATATCAATCTAAAGTAATTTTTGTTATTGTTTACTAGTGGCGGTGTCCAACTTGATCAAAATCCGTAATCAAGAGATAAACCACCCACACATAAATATCTGAAAGTCTTTGCTGACACGTGTAACACCTTACCGTTCAATTCAAATTATTCTAATCCTTCAGTGTACAGTTAATCAGTTGCTAGAATTCAACTAAATAGTTATCATTTTAAGTTTTTACACTCACGTGACTGAATCAAAACGTCAACCTGGAACTCAGCAGCCACATGCACATGTTCATGGACTAGACAACGAGCCAGTCTTTTTCAGTGAAGACTAACGATATTCATTGTCTACACAAACTTATTATTATTATTATTTGTCCCTTGGGTTCCTAATAGAACATAGGGATTCAGTAGCACGTCTCCAATGCGTTCTGTTCTCTGAAATCTTTTCAACCTGACTCCATGACAGCCCACTAGCTATCATTTCCTCCTCGCACGACCTCCTCCATGTCACCCTCACCTCAGACGCCCAACTCGTCGCCTCCCATTGGGGTCCCACTCCAGCATCTGGCCTGACGCGTGATGTCCCCAGTCAGTCGGCCTTTTCATTGTATGCCCAATCCATCTCCACTCCCTTCTGCATATTTGTTGAGCGATGGGTTCTTGGTTGGTTCGTTGCCAGAGTGAGTTCCTTGTTGCTTATTCTCATTGTTCTGGCAATCCATCTGAGCTTCAGTAACGAGCCAGGGTAGGCAGTTGTTGATGAATGTCTGTAGTTTGTTGGAGATGCCTTTCGTAACGTGCCAAGTCTCTGAGCCATACAGAAGCACTATCTAAGCACTTCAGTGTGATACCTCCTCATCTCGTTTGCAATCTGGGCTGCCTTGCTGGATTCAAACATGGTGAGGACATTCCATGTTCCCACGTTTACTTTCGCTTTCATCGAGGGAGAAAAGACACACCAGCCAGTCGGCTTCCCGAAGGTAGGCTTTCACCAACCGGCGTCATTTCGTCTCTCTGATTCCAGCGAGTATTAATTTTGTTTTTATTTTTTGTATTTTGTTTGTGCTGTGAAGTTTCTTTAGCGGTTGATTGGATTGGTTTTCCGGGGTAGGGTTGCAAGCTGTATGCCCAACCTTCCCTGTTTACGCGGGCTTAGGACCGGCTAGTAACTAGTGAACTAGTTAACCAGGCGAGGTTCACGCAACCGTCTAGGAGTTGTCATCTGAATTGACAACTACTAGTGGCATCTATCAAAGATACCTGTTATCACCGTCCCTGTTTAACTTCGTTATAGATGTATTAATCGATATGACCGTGGATACCTCTAACTTCACAGGAATTGATCTACTCCGTGAAAGGTATATGGTAAACTTGGAGTGTGCGGAAAGTATAGTACTATTAGACAAACGCACAAACAAAATCAAGGTCTTCTAAATGCCTTGAGCAGATATCAGGGTATCCTCGATATGCATTTTGTATCTGTAAAATTTACTATGTTGCTTCAATACTGGATGGAGAGTGAATTGATAGAATGCATTAATCACTTCACTTACTCAGGGAGTTGTATTTTTCGAAAGGGGTCGATTGCTGACAAAATCTCAACTCGGACACAAAAAGGCCGTTTAACATTTTTCAACTTGCTTCATTTTTGGCTCTGACAAGATATCTGTCTACCTGTTAAAGGAAAAGTGAACTGCACTCCAGTCCGTTCTGTCCTATTATACAGCTAAAAGACATAGTCGTCAAAAGTGGAAGACATGAAGCAGTTATAAGATTTTGATCTCAGATGTCTTCGCAGGATTGCTCGCGTTTAGTGGAATCACGGTGTGAACAATGTAGAGGTCAGGCGAAGTGTACTAGTCAAGATAAGCAAGTCGATTGATGAGGTTGTGAACCTTCATCGACTGAGGTGAGTTGGCTTAGACACGTGTTGCCTATGCAGAGTCACCACCTACCTCGACGTTGCATGTCGAGGGAAGTTGGATTAGGTTGGAAGAGGGTTCAGCCTAGGTAGACCAAGACGTGGCGCTAGTCGATGAAGCCTCTGACTGTTGATCTGAGCATTGTGGAGGGATATAGACTGTTTCGGTCCTTGAGATAATAGAAATCAATGGTTGATGAGTCTTGGTGACACAGCTGGAAATTGGTCACAATGTCGTAGGTGTATTCACTCTTTGATGTCTTCTAAAGTTTAAACATTTCCACTGACTTTCATTATTCAAATTCCCTCTCCTCCCACAAACGTTTGTCTACTTCAATTTCACTCTTTTTAAGCTACTTGTTCTTTGGATGCTACTGTGAAGTTTGGCAATTGGAGCTGTTTCACTTCTACACGAGATTCTGCACTGATTTTGTCTGTGTCTATTAGCTAAAACCCTACTTAGGTCTAAAAAGACTGAAAACTGCTACTCATTTACTCACCTATATCACCTTCTTGTGGTAGCCAATCATTTTGCGATGAAAATGTGCTGTAATATAAATGTCCTACAACTATGTCGTCAATAGTTATCCATCATCTCTTCTAATTCCGTTAGCATAAAATTTCTATCAGTTAGCTGTCACCAAACTGCGCAAAATTTAAGTACCCATGTACTGTTATCTGGAATTGAAGTAAAGCTATCCAATTCGAAGTGAAACAATTGTCACTTGCATAACAAATACCTGATACTTATTTAGATCCCGTGACATGGGCACGCCTAACAAATCAGAGCAAATAAGACAGGAAGAAACTGGAACTGATTTGTACTGCTCTCCGACTGATGATGTACTTACTAGGCAAAATCTATGCATATTCATGCGTTGCTTCAGAGTGACCTTGGGAATATATGATACTTTAGAGTGTAAATTTAGGAAAGCTTCGCGTCAAATATTACGTTTTTTAAACTGCGCACTAGATAGTAAATTGGTTTTTGAAAGGTTTAAACGAAATTTTTGACAAATAATGATACTCAGTACTGTTCGTTGATATGCTTGTAATTCTCCGTTGTTTTACTGGATCGAATTGTTCGACCTCTATTGGCGTACAGGCTCCTATACGAATGCCTCGATATTGCCTAAATATTAATTATAATAATTTAGTTGGTTGTGGCTAGCAGAAGAATCCAGGGCGCGTGTTTCGCCCTATTTGGGACTCGTCAGCTGGATGCACCTGCAACTCGGTGACCTAGTGGATAGCGCTTTGGCGTTTAAAGCGATGTATACGAAGTTCAAGCCTCAGTGGGAACAACATCGCTCACTGACGAGTCCTTAACAGGACAAAATGCGCGTCCTGGATTCCTCTGCTAGTCACAACCAATTAAATTATCATAATAATGATACTTATCAACACCATCCTTGAATGCAATAATTTTTGACAGCTTGTTCATTTGTATGGGATATGATTTATTTCGAAAAAGGAATAAGAAGTAAATTATCTGAAGTGTGTAATATATTTGCTCAACATATGTCGAACAGTCTGATCACACACGTCATAGGTATTTATATGAAAATTTATGAAAAGATAAGAGGGGAGAACATGAAATAGGTTAAGTAGGAATAGTATTCAACGAATATGCACAGGCGATACCTTGGAAGACGAGACAAGAAAACTGACCGAAACACTGTTAGAAAGTAAATATATCCGTCAAAACTTATTAGCAGGCACAAAGTAGCCAGAACACAAAACCTTCTCTTCACTTTGTTCCGAAGAAAGTTGTCTTCATCAGTCTTCCATACAAAGGTGATTTTCATAGTGCAGTCCTTAAACAGAGACTTGACGCTGCTATTAGAAGGACTTACTATGTAGATAGGATGCGACTGATAGAAATCACCAAGCTTGTGTACTCTCTTAAACCCTTAGAGCATGTGAACGACAATATCACATCCCATTGCGTGTCTACCAATTCAAATTTACATGCGCTGACACACATATAGGGAGGACTCATAGGTCTATGCAAGTAAGGGCTTCGGAGCATATTCTAAAGTAACTTCAGAAGCAAGTTGAGTCATCTGAACGCATAGACGTTGGTAGCAGTCGTCCAACTTCTTCGGTCACGAAACGTAATAGTAATCGCCTTATTCCAAATAACATGTGTGATACGGTATGGCATTCTCAGCATGTAATAGTTCAACTAATTCATTCCCTGCACAATATCTTTATTCGAAATAATCATACGAAAAGCATTTCCAACAAACAGACATACATGAACAGTTGCTGCCTACCCTCGATACTGTAGATAAGATGACCAGAAAGAATAAGCAACAACGAACTCTGGCGCGGCAACGAACCAACCAAGAACCTATCTCCCAAGAACTATGCAGAAGAAAGTGGAGATTGATTGGATTGGGCATACACTGAGAAGACAGTTTGGGAACATCACGCACCAGGCCCTCGAGTGGAAGCCAAAGGGGAAACGACGAGTTGGATGTCCGAGGGTGACATGGAGGAGATCGTGTGAGGAAGAAATGAAAGCTTATGATAGTGATTGAGCCAGGTTGAAAAGACTGCAGAGAAGAGAGTGAAATGGAGACGTGCTACTGAAGCTCTATGCCCCACCAGGAACTCTAGGAACAAATAAAAATAATAAAATCATTGCATTTGAATAATGTTTATAATAACAGTAATAAAGGCCACAATGGGAAATAGGTACCTGGTATTACATTAGCGTCTGATTTGGACTGATGAATGGCTAGAAAATCCAGCAAACTTTTAGTGGCGTTAGTGTATTTAGCCAGTACTGAAGTACGCAATTCGACATAGTTATCCATAGAATAGTAATGTAATACATTTCTATGCATTTATAAGCCAATCTCTCATCGACGTATAGTTTTTTCTTTGCTTTGCTATTAGCTTGAAAAACGACAGTTTGAAATCATATTAAAAGTGTGCGAGATTATATGATGCGTTTAAAAGACAAACTTGAAAAGATTAAAAGAAATTTAAAGGGAAAAATTTAATGACGTATTTTGGGTGGAAAATTTTCGGCAGCCCAAAGTTTAAACAGGCCATCGTTGTATCGTATATTTGAGACAGGTCACAGGATTGACGTGGCTACCTCCTTTAAACCTATTCGCAAAACGCTTTGGCGACGGATCCTTAAATATGTTAAGGCCTCAGCTATCAGGAAGTTTAAACCATCATTTAACTGCTCACTAACAATTTATTTTCACATTAAATCTCCCTTGGTGAATTCAACTCTGAAATCATGTTCGCTGTATTGATTTTCATTGTTATTTGACCTTTAATTCAGCCTTCGTACTTGACGTCTCTTCATATTTTCACCCCTTATCTCTCTATAAATCTTCATATAAATACCTGCGGCAAGTAAATGAGTGATCAGATTGTTCTAAATGTGTTGCACAAATATATTACACAAAGCAGATAACTTACGTCTTATTTATACTTGGTGATGATTGAAGGTGAAATGAAAATTTAGACCTCGGCTGGATTCGAACCAGGAACCATCTTCAATCATCACTTAGCATAAATACTAGTCTGCTAAACTGTGGCTATCTCAGATAGTCAAAATAGTCACGTCTTATTGTTTTGTCAAAGTTTATAAAAGGAGCTAATTGTTTTAAATTTATGATTTATTTGTCTAATTGTATACGTATGAATATTTTATACTTCTACAGATTTCCTGAATCAAAAATTCATCGAAGAGTATCTAAAGAATCTCCTAGTTTATTAGCACGTAAACTAGATTTATCACATTCAGCGCGTTTAGCATTTACAGCCTATCTACGTGATTATTGTTTAATGGCAAGAGGCAATAAAACTGTTAAACAACAACATCAAAAGATTGATGAAACACTGAGCATATTCAATGCAAAAGCTTTACCGATTGAAAAATTTGCAATATCATTAGGTAAGTTGAAATAAATTTTATTCTGATCTTGTCTTTTGTCAATCTACCTATCAATGTGTCAGTTGTATCCCGTCATAATATGGATAATTAGTTGGTCATCACGGGTGAGCACTACAATGTAAGAAACAAGAGCTGTAGAGCTGTAGATCATTGGTTTACGTAGATGATTTTCAACCAATGGGTAATAAGTTCGGACACCGTTCCACCTACTGAGGTTTGAGCAGACAGGTAGTATCATTAGCCCCCATAGAATAGATGTGACTCATTGCCTACTTCATGAATGTATACAAGGTTGCTTATTGGATTTCAATTTTGATCCTTTCTGAAGCATTTATCAGCGGGTTACACCTTATTGATGATTATAGTACAATATCGATCCATCGATTTGATTATCTTTGTCTAATAGTAATCAGAAACTTAGATATATTTGGCAATAGATGATGCGCTTAACTTCACACTTGCCGGTAATTCTACCATGTTTGACATACAGCTGCAAAATCGAAATTTGGTTAACTGTCTTAAACTTGTTATATTCTTTGAGCGTTGTCTGCTCCCGGCTAGTAGTTCAATGAAGGTAAGAAAGATTATTCTGGAATACTCTTTGCCAATGCTCATATACCCAGATTGCTCATTTAGGTCATAGAAGCCAGGGTTCAACGAGTTATTGAGAAATTAACATGAAGCACATCAATAATACTTCTAACCAGCCGAGTTTAGCAAAGTTATCGCACTTGAACTACACATATGCTAAGAGTTTCCTTGAAAAAAAAGAGTCTATCGTTTATCCTTTGTTTTATTGCACTAAACTGATGAATATGCGTTTTCGAATAAAAAGACGGTCTCCATTTCATTTCAATTTACATCATTTAGGGAACTATGGAAAACTGGAGAACAACGAACAGTCCATAACACTCTAGTTTTATGGGTAAGGTCTTTATTTCGGTTTCGTATGGTATTATAGATAGGCACTGTTGAGATTCCAAACTAAGGTGAAATAAGCTCTCCAGTTGCTCCTTGTACTATGTATGCCTAGTTGCCGATAGCCTAGTCACACAATACTGGTCGAAGTAGGCCCAGGCTCGAAAAAGGCCTGAGGTGGCCAGAATGAAACATGGCACCAATGTATGAAGTCTTTCACTGTTGGTTTAAGCCATGTGGGGCGATGCAGACTAGGTGGTTGGGGTCCGTGGAACAAGAGGAACCAGTGGCTGGAGACTCTAGGTGATATGGCTCAGGACCTGCGTGAGTGGTGCAGATGTATACACACATTATCCTCATCTTAAGGAGGCTATGCCAAATCTCACCATTTTGTCACTCCTCTTTTCTTTCTTCTCGTACTTTATATTTCTTTTGACTGCATTCTCTTATCTTCATCCTTCACCTCACTATTTTTCTACTTGATATGCTGATATGAGCTGTGGCAACTGGGACCATTACGCAGTAATGCCTGGTCCTGTGTTGATATTGATGATGATGATGACCAGTGCTCCTCAGTTTTCAATAATTTACCAGCTAATATTGATCGGTAATGAAAATTGTTCACAGAAGCAACTGATTCGCCATGAGCCATTGGATTGTTTAACATCGTCAATCTGTTCTATAACATTGCTAAATACAAGAGATATAAGTATGTTTTATTCGTTTCTGTGAAAATTGTTGCATTTCAATCTAATTTATTGTTCCCTTTTCAGGAATACCATTCATATCATCCTTACCAAAAGAATACCTTGATCTAGTTCCAGAGGCAGCTAAATTTATCAAAACATTTCCTACAGTATCCAATTTATCTGAAGATAAATCGTTTGATGTTAGTCAAATGTCTAAAGATGACAATTTGAACACTATGAAAATGGATTCAATGCTATCAAATAACGAAAAAGAAAGGAGTAAAAGTTTTAATGAAGATGATGATGATGATGATAAATCTGTTGGTTAGAAAACCTTCCAATAATCTCATACAAAGTTTATCTGGTTTGAAACGTTTAGATCTTGTCGAAGAATCTAGTACAGACGAGGAAGAAAATTCACATGATCAAATCATCTCATCTGTTGCACTTGAACCTGCAAGAAAGTCTGGAAATAAAATGGTATTTTGTATATATATATATATATATATATATATATATATATATATATATATATATCGCTGTAGTGTGTAGTGTTTATGTTTTGAACCCACCTAGGCTAATTTATCTATTCAGTGTTTGAAGATGATTAACAAAATTGTATTTGATATTGTTTTCATACTTATACATTTAGTGGCAACATTGCAAACTTACTCGATAAACTTTAGATAGCGTTGATCACTTGGATTTAAACAACCACATTGGTTACTAATTTGTGTAGCTACCAGTCTACCAACTTGTGACGACCACACCTTCCCCCCCACCCCACCCCACCGCTCAACGTCACTTAACACCAAAGCTTTTGAGTACCAAGTATCCTGTATTATTATTATTATTACTATTATTATATGTTCTTTGGGTTCCTAATAGAACATAGGGATCCAGTAGCACGTCTCCAATGCGTTCTGTTCTCTGAAATCTTTTCAACCTGACTCCATGACAGCCACTAGCTATCATTTCCTCCTCGCACGACCTCCTCCATGTCACCCTCACCTCAGACGCCCAACTCGTCGCTTCCCATCGGGGTCCCACTCCAGTATCTGGCCTGACGCGTGATGTCCCCAGTCAGTCGGCCTTTTCAGTGTATGCCTAATCCATTTCCACTTCCTTCTGCATATTTGTTGAGCGATGGGTTCTTGTTTGGTTCGTTGCCAGAGTGAGTTCCTTGTTGCTTATTCTTTCTGGCAATCCATCTGAGCTTCAGTAACGAGCCAGGGTAGGCAGTTGTTTATGAATGTCTGTAGTTTGTTGGAGATGCCTTTCGTAACGTGCCAAGTCTCTGAGCCATACAGAAGCACTGACTTGACTAACATTGGTGTTTAAAATCCAGATCTTGTCCCACATGCTGAGTGCAGAAGATCTCCACACTGGTTTCAGGCTAATGAACGCCTGTCTTGCTTTTCTGATTCTGACTTTCACATCCTCGTCTGTGCCTGTGCCGCCTGTAGTTGAAACAGTGCTGCCTAGATACCTGAAGGAGGCTACTTCCTTTAAGTTTATCCCGTTGATGGTGATTTTAGTTTGTTGTTGTTGTTGGTTGGGTATCTTCATCACCTCTATATTCACTTTAAGTCCCGTCTTCACTATTCTGCCATGACTCTTCTGTCAACTTGTTAGTTTTCACCTGTAGATCTTCGAGTTTGTGTGAAATTAGACACAAGTCATCATCGGCGAAATCCAAATCTTCTAGGTTCTTTTGCCTGGTCCAGCCAGCGTATCCCCCTTTTCTTGCTCCTCACTGTTTGTTGCATGACCCAGTCGACCACAATCAAGAATATCATGGGTGATATTAGGTGGCAGCCTTCTTTCACTCATGTCTTCACTTCCACTCCAAAGGCATCACTGAGCTGAGCTTCCCATTGTGAATTACTTGGCATGTGGCATGCGTCTTCATATAGTTGTTGAATGAGATTGATAAAGGTTTGTGGTATTGCGTAGTGTTGAAGCAGTAACTGCATGTGAAATTACTTGTCGGTCGACGCTGTCGAAGGCCTTTTCAAAGTCGATGAAGTTGAGGTGAGGTAGAGGGTTGACTGACATTCTATACTCTGTTCTATGATGAATCGCAGTGTAGCGTTGCAATTTGGTCCGCACATGATTTGTACTTCCCGAATCCAGCCAGCCTGTTCCGGTCGTAGTTTTGAATCCAGCGCATCCTTTAACCTCTCCAGGATGATGCGGCTTAATATTTTGCTTGCTTTGGGTGGACAGGAGAGTGATTCCGCGCCAGTTCTTGCAAACACTTAGGTCGCCCTTCTTCGGCAGTTTGACAAGGTAACCCTTCTTCCAATCATCCAGCAGGTACCTTCCCTTCCTTCCGAACTTTCTGCAATAGTGGTGTGAGCATGTCCGCTGTTGTCTCTGTGTCTGTTTTCAGTGCTTCTGGAGGGATTCCATCTGGTCGTGCTGCTTTCCCGCATTTCAGTAGCTTTATGGCGTTCAGAACTTCCATTTTTGTTGGAGGATTTACGTTCACTTGTAGTTCAGCGGCTGTATGTGGTATTTCTGGACGAAGTGCAGGTGGTGGTCGATTCAAGAGCTTCTTGAAGTGGTTAGCCCATTGTTTCCTTCGTTTCTGTTCTTTGGTAATTAAATTCCCGTCATCATCTTTTATTGGTTTCGTCTGCGTTGATCTCTTCCCAAATAGTAACCTGGTTATTTGATACAATGTTGTCAGGTCTCTCTTGCAGCCTTCAGCCTGTTCTGCTTCACTTGTCAGTGATTCGTAGAAGTGTCTTTTGTCTTTCCGCGCACTCTTCTTCATTTTTTGTCCAGTGTAGTGTTTTATAGGTTATGTTCAGTGCCTCTTGACTTTGAGCATCCTTGCACTGGTTTATCTTCTGCTTCACCATCCTCCTCTCCCTGCTCTATCAGCTTCCATGTATCCATCGAGATCCATTCCTTATCTTCTTTCTTCTTCCTTCCTAATACGGTTGTGCAGGTTTCTTTCCACATCTCTTTCAAAGACTTCCAGTGTTCTTCCACACAGGTTTCTTCAGGGATGTTCCTCGATGTCTCCCATTTTGTCTTGATGGCTGCCTTGAAGATCTCCTTTGTAGTTTCATCCTTCAGTTTCCGAGTGTTGTACTTGAACTGCGGTCTATCACCAGCTTCCTTGAAGGCTTTTAACTTGATTTGGAAGGTTCCTTGTGCTAGATAGTGAGTGGCGTGAACCTACATCTGCTCTTCTTCTTGACCTTGTGTCAAGTAGGCTGCGTCTCCACTTTCTTGAGATTGAGATGAATTCGATCTGATTTTTAGTGTGTCCATCTGGTGAAATCAAATCTATGTGGTTGCTTTGTGAATATCCTTGTGCTTGAACACAGTGCCTTACTCCACCAAATCGTTGAATGCGCAGAATTCTGCAAACAATTCTCCATTCTCGTTCATCACCTCACCGAGCGCTTCTCGACCGATGGTTAGTTCTCTTCCCGTGTTGTCCCCTCCCAGTTTGACATTCATGTCGCCCATTAGAATTTTGATATCGCCAACTGGGGTGGGGTCTTGTCCAGTGTTGATTGAAGTTGTCAGTAAAATTCCTCCTTTTCTCTTGCTCTGCATTATTTGAAGGTGCATAGCATTGTATGATTTTGACCTTCCTTCCTTTTGAGTTGAACCTTGCTGTCATGATCCTGGAGGAGATTGGTTCCCACTGCATGAGAGCCTTCGATGCTGTTGGCGACATCATGATAGCCACTCCATAACTTAATGTGCTCGTGATTGTCGTCTGGGTGACAGTAACGGAGTAGATTATGGACTCCTCTCCAGTTGAGAGTTTGGAGAGTCCACTTCCATTCCATCTGGTTTCGCAGATTCCAAGCACTTCAGTATGATACCTCTTCACCTCGTTTGCAATCTGGGCTGCCTTACCAGCTAGGTTCAAACATGGTGCGGACATTCCATGTCCCCACGTTTACTTTCACTTTCATCGAGAGAAGACACATAGGCCAATTGGCTTCCCGAAGGCTTTCACCAACTGGCGTTTTTCGCCTCTCCGATTCCAGCAAGTAATAAGTTTGTTTTTATGTTTTATATTTTGTTTGTGCTTTGAAGTTTCTTTAGCGGTTAGATTTGTTTTACGGGGTAGGTTTCTAGCCCTATGCCCAACCTTCCCTGTTTACTCGGGATTAGGACCGGCTAGTAACTAGTGAACTAGTTAACCAGGCAAGGTTATCAAGCATCCTGTACAGGGAGTAAATCATTCATTCACAGAAAAATAACCAATGTTATGTTGTCCTGCTTCTAATGCTATCTACATCCGATCGACCAATCATTCAACATACTTACAGAAACGAGTCGAGTTATTTAGTCAACCTTTATCGATTGAATTCAACCAACACTGATAAATAGACAGGATGGTACTGACATGGATCAGTCAGCATTAAAGTGGGACTTGGCGTTGTTGCATAACGGTCCAGGCTGCCGCAACTCACGTCGTCAGCACATTAAGATGGAGGGCCCCAAAAATATGGGGAAAAATTAGTCAAAGTGATGGAAAGTCGCCACGTAACCAACATGCTATAGTGTCTCATTACTGGCTACAGTCCATCCATAAACAAATTTAAGTAGTGGTATTATTCTTTATCATTGACAGGAAGATAAGGGGTGATAAATTTATTTGAAGTCAGTGAATATCGCTGAGCCGGAGAATTCTTATAACTCATAGGTTGAGAATTACTAGCTGTTATTATACACCCACAACACTTCGATATACGAAGATGGATACTAATGACTAGAATACTGTCCCCCAATAGATGTCAAGTTCAATGTACAAAAAATGTCTTCTCAGACACTTTTATAGTAAAATACGAATGGTGCTTCCTTTGGTCAAGGTTAAAGACGAATATTTAGTCTATATTTCACATTGAAAACCCTGACTAATCATCTATCTTTCTATCTATTGTAACAGTATTTCATTTTTTTAGTTTGAGGTTCATAGGGATTTTATATTTTGAGGTAGTATTCATTACGGATTAAAATCATTTGGAGAACCATTGAGAGCCTGGGACCATTGGGCAGCTGTTTCATCTTAGTATGGGACTCTTCAGCAATACGCACCCATGACGTTACTAGAAATCGAACTCAAGACCTTCATGTTTCACAGTGAATGTGTTAGTCATTCAGCCACGGGGTTTGAGTTCAGTGGTCCACAGTTCCTGACCTCTGTCAGTACGCATGGCTACCCAAACCTCGGTAAGTGGAGCGGTGTTCAAACTTCTGACTCCACTGGCTAAGATTCAACTCCCTAAATAAATGATCCAGTCAACTTCTTACGATTATACTTGTGCATTTGCACTAACTGTGCAATGATTGTATTACTGTCGTGGTGCCTTAACCGAAGCAAGCAATTGCTATTGATAATGTGACTTCGTGTGAGTGAGAATCTTTATAAACTGCATCCCCATTATATGTAGTAACGATAAAAAATGAATACGCTATTCGTCTTGAGACTATGCAGCACATGTGCACCACTGGATTTGAACTTTTCAACTTCAAGGTGTATGAAGTACACTACTGAGTTATATGAGTAGCTGTAAACTACTCACATCGTTTAGTAGTGTTCTCTAGCCAAATCATAGTGATCTCAACACCAAGCGGTCGTTCCTCAAGTCTGAAGGTGAGCTCATCAACGGTGTACCCGCATCAACTCAAGTTCGAAAACCAAACTGTTCAAACCACCTGAATTCTGGCTAACTGCCTGAACAAATTGGTCAACTGTAACTTCCTTATGTGAACTGTTTATGTTCACTGCTGGAAGCGCACTTCCGAACCCTTGAAAAAATCTCCATTTTGTGGATATACAGTAAGTACGACTTTCGGATAACTCTGAATTTCACCTACTCTGGGTTATCCCAAGGCATTAAGGGTACCTCACTAACAGCAGAAAAACAACCTGACGATAAAGTCATCCACTTTCTTGTCTTCTACGTATCCGTAATTGATTATCCATTTTACAGTTTAGTTATTTTTACCTTTTCAATTCTTTGTTTAGAAAAACTTGAACCGTATACAATTAGCCAAAAAGGAATTAAAACAAAAGGTTCGACCTCATAGAAAATTGCAGTTCGACGATGAAGGTCATGTAAGTGTATTTTATTATGCTTGAAGGTATTGACTCCATACACAACCTCATATGTGTGTATACTTTTGTATTGCTTTTTGATTGTTGTTTGCCAACTTGGTTGGTTGTAACTCTTTATACTAGACTATGAGTCAAGGTTATTTTGTGACGGCTTATTATGCTACTCAAGTGCTCAAACTGAATTCGGTAGTTTTACACCATGCATAAAATGCAACTCTACAACTATATGTAGTCATTTGCCCTAGATAATGATCCGCGTGTATGGTGTGATGCCTGATGGTACTACTTGGCTATGTAAACATTAGTCAATGGAGTCGGGCTCGAACTCATAACCTACTCGTAGTTATCCAAACCGATGGAACACACCAGTGATGAACTAGTAGTTATCCTATTTGACCTTTTTTCTCTCGAGATAATCATTAAACAGGGAACTCTTTTTCATATCTTCTACCGTCATTGTTTGCTGCCCAATCGTAGTTTCACTCTAAACAAGTTTATGTAAAACTCAAGCAATTGCTTACTATTGTAATAGAGATTTAAATCTTTTCTCAAACGAATCGATTCGGAAAGAGAGCAGTAACATATTATTCTGTCTGTTTAAACTTGTTGTAGTTCATTGTTATTACATCACACCTACTTATCTTCCTTGGCCACCGCTATAAAATAATAGTCTTTAGTACGTCATGTTCAGGCAGTATGTTTGTCAAAACCTAAAGGATAATGATGCGAACATGTACACTGGATGATGGGTTTGGTAAACCATAAAAGGAGCATTTGAAAATATGTCATCACCTAGTGAGTATGAAACGTGCTATAGAAGTAGAATATACAATGTGTAGCCACAAAATAATACATTGACTAATGAAACAACTTAATTTCTTGATTGTCCAACATCAACTAGGTCAATTCATTATGATTGGTTGGGTCAAGATATCCTGGCTGCGGAGAAATACCCAGTCACAAGTACACATGTGTTTCACTTTGGGTACATATATTTGAATCTTTCAACTGCGACATATTGATAGTGAATAATCAACACCTGAATATATTTTGCTTGGTGGTGGCTATCAGTAGAATTCAAAACATACGTTTCGTCCCACCTAAAACTCCTCAGCCGAGTGTATCTGTACTTCAGTGAGTGATAGTGTTCCCACTGAAACTTGAACACCCAGCATTGTTGAGTAGCACAGCTGTCAATGACATATAATAGTTTTGTAATCGTTGGTGACTAGCGGGGGGATCCAGGATGCGCGTTTCGTCCTATTTGGGACTCATCACCCGGATATACCTCCATTCCAGTGAGTGGTGTTGTTCTCAGTGAGACTCGAACCCCAGTACTCATCGCTGCAAACACCAGAGCGTTATTCACTGAGGCACGAAAGCCACCTCTTCTGCAACAGGCATCAGTTATTGTTCATTGATACTTGTAATCCCCCGTTGCTTCGTAGGGTTGAATTGCTCAACCTCTGTGGATAACGCTTTGGTGTTGGAAGCGATGGCTACTGGGTTTGAGTTTTTGTGGAAACACAATTACTCACTAGGATGCAAGTGCATCCAGCTGATGATCCTAAAATTGGACGAAACGAGCATTCTGGATTCCGTTACTGGTCCCTAACATGAAATTCCGGTAGTGTCCAACCGTGCTCCTAGAAACATATCTGCCAACAGAAGTCGAGTGACTCGCCGCATCAACGGGGAATCACATGTTTCAAACAACGAAGTATGCTAGTCTTCATCTTAATTGCAACTTTAAAAAATGTAAGTATATCCGATTTATCATGAGAACTAATGCTACTTATTTACCTAGTTTAGAGTTGTTTAGTTTGTTAGTCTCCGCATCGTTCCCTCCTCTTTTTTGATTGGTCTACACTTTCTAGCCTATATGTACGATTTCGTTGGATACACAATCAGCAATTATTTGTCCATCAGAATGATTGTTTAATGAATTTCTAACTAGAATTAATTTGGTTGTAACAGTTTGACGGTGAAGACAAGTGTTTCTTCTGCGGAACTGTAGCTATTTTCGGTCATAACCTTGATGAGAATTTCCTACTACTTTGTTGATCCTGTAAATCACACTGGACTATTCCTCTTTGATTACGAGATCTTAAGGATTGAGACAGAAACACATCAGTTCCGTTTGAATCTGTACCGCTACGATCGATTGGGAGCCATATCACCAGTAATCTCCAACCACTGATTTTTATCACCTCAAGGACGTCAACTAGGTGGTGATATACTTCTTCATACACAGGTCAGAACAACGGTAAGAGACTAAATGGACTGATGTCACATTCTGGTTTGGCCACTTTTAGCCTTCTTCCAACTTAATATTGAACTTGAGGGGTTTGTGGGGATTTAGAGATTTTTTTCGAGTTGATATTCATCGTGGACTGACATCAGTTGGAAGAACATTGGAAACCTGAGAGCACTAAACAGCTGTTTCATCCTAATATGGGACTTCTCAGCAGTGTGCACCCACGATCCCACCAAGGATCTCTGAATCCTCACAACCCCCCACCCCCATCCCCCCAAATTCAATTGAACTAGCGTTCTTTGGTGACTAGCTTTAGAGGTGGTTCTTAAAGTTCCAGTGAGAAGTCGTGACTAGTGGGGCAAACCTGGTGGCCGTGGGGACAAATACTCAACGATGATATTGGGTGGCGGTCGCGCTGTCGTGAACTGACAGAAGTTGGAAATATGGACCACTGGATTCCGACCCATTGGCTCAATGGTAACGTGCTGGCCACGGGACCTGAAGGCCTTGGGTTCGATTCCTGGCGGTATTGTGTATGCGCACTGCCGATACTAACAAGAAACAGCTGTCCGGTGCTCCCAGGTTTCCAATTTCAGTCCACGATACGCACTCACTTTAAAAAATAATCTTACTATGGCTAACATCGAGCGTTAGAGTTTGCTAGTATGTATAACACAAGTCAAAGCCACTTTAATCAGTGAAGATTCCCGACCTCCGACTGATTTGCTCTCCTTGTCTAGTACTCAACAACTAACCTAAAGGTAATTGATGTTATCTTGTGCGAATTTTCTTTCGATAAACCTGAGTCTGAATATAAGCTAGGAAACAGAGTAGCAAATTCCCTCTTTAAAATGTTTTTCCTCTCTCTCCTTTTTTTCGTAAAAATAGATTATATGCGAAAAGATTGGTAATGTACCAATTGCTAAGCCTCCAATTATTATTGAAGAAACTTCTACTGAAATTTTCGATGTTGAACGTGAACGTCGTCTACTGCATGAAGTTATCGATAAAGAGGATAAAAAGTTATGGAGAGAACGTGTTAAACAACGTCATCAAACTGAACGCAAAAAACTTAAAGAGGAGAGGAAAAAATTATCTCAGTCAGTTGGACCAAAAGTTTCACTGGAAGAGAATTCATTGAATTCCAACGAAGAATCTGATTAGTATACAGTAAGAGTAATAGTTATTCTTTTCTTTATTCTACTAAATAAGCATTTTTACTTCAGCAAAGTAAAAACAAAACCGATCTTTTTTATTTTCAATGATATTTGTTTGAACGGATTTACTTTCTCGGTCATTCAGTGTTAGTGTTGCTGTGCAACAGTCCAAGTCGCTACATTTCATATCAAGGCAGAAGGCACTAAAATGAAATATGGAGAAATAAGGTGGAATATGGCCCAAAGTCATAAAAAGAGAACAAAAAGGCATAATGATTGGTATGAAGATCAATTCTGAGTTATATCATCTAACGTATCCAACCACACATTTTGGTTATAACGTGGACTATGACCAGGAAGTCTACATTGGCTCAACATAACAGTCAAAGACTTCATTCACTGATGCGATGACCACCCCTAACCTTTTTCCAGCCTTCACTCAGTAAATCAACAACTGTTAATATAAGGAGTTCATCATTAATGTAGTGGTTGATGGGTTACCATTACAATGACCCACTCAGTACATATCATGTTTAGTAAAACCTCAAGAGAAATGAAAATCATAGAATTCTTATGAATTCAGATGTAGTGTATTCTTCAACTGTTTTTGTTGCGAATATCCTAGGAATATTTCAGCATTAAGTCTGACTTCACCATTATTTTGGTATAATCGCAGCGTGTTCTATTGAGGGTGATCAGTGACTGAATCCAGTCACTTCATGGTGGCTATTATGTATAACAGATTTCGTGTGATTATTTTGGCTATGAAACATGTTCTTTAAAGTTGGAAGATGGGAAAAGATTCAGGCGTTCGGCTACCGTTGTCTTCGTTAGCATAAGCCGTGTGTCGTGGTGTCACCACATCAGTTGATGAGGTTATGAACTTTAATTGACTGAGATGCCTTGGATTCGTGTTACACACACTTGGTTACCATCTGCTCCATTGCACAATTTTAGCCGAAGTATATTCAGACCGGTAATATGTGACGGCCGTCCAGACTAAAATATAACATCAATGTACATGTAGTACTTGACTGTTTGTCTGAGCCGTGTAGGTGAACGTTGACTTCCTCTTTGAGTTCACGTGACAACAAAAACCAGTGATTGAAGACTCAGGTGATATGGTGCTGCTGCATCCACGCATTATCTTCATCTTGACCATCGTACTTCAAATTTCAGTATTCTCTCATTTCTCCTTGCTACCTTTTCACGATTTTCTATCACTTTTGTCTGCTTTCTCCTATCTTGGTGCATTCTCTCTTGTTTCGTCCCTAGTATGGGACTGCTCAGTACTGCGCACCCATGATCCCGCCAAGGGTCGAACCTAGGACCTTCAGGTCCCGCGGCCAGCAGGTTATCATTGACTCACTGGGTCAGAATTCATTGATCCATATTTCCTACCTCTGTCAGTTCATGATGTAGCTCAACTTTCATTCGGTGCCGTTGTTTAGTAACTGTCTCCGTGTCTGACTTGACTGGCACCGCCGGTCACAACTTCTCATTAGAATTTCGGGAATCACCTCTCGAAGCGAGTCACCAATGGGCACTAGATTAGTTCAGTTTAGAGGTTTTCAAGGATTTATTTGTTGATTTCAGGTTTGTATATTCACCATAGACTGACATTAGTTGGAGAAACTTGGGAGTACTGGTCAGCTGTTTCATCCTAGTATGAGACTCCAATTGATGCTGTCGAATTAAGAAGTCCAGAAAAAGGTTACAGTAGAAGCACCTTTGCCAAAAATTGATGAGAATCTTATTAGCTACTAATCAAAAAGATTTAGTGACCCATGAACTTTATAAGTAGGCATTCACTAAACCACATACGGATACCATGTTTGATCCTTGAAATGTGGTTTATTTATATCGAAAAGTTCTCATCCTACGTTTTTTGTCAATGCAACATTTTATCAAGATGAGTTGGGTGTGATAATGAAATTTACATGTTTATATATGCAACTTCCTCTGTTTTTCTTACGTCTTGATAGTGAATTTAGGATACACAACTAACTACACAATCTAATCAAAATAAAAGCTGACTAATTCGTACTAACTTTAGGTGGAGAGTGCATCTTATAGACTGGATATAGTTGGAGTTAGTTAAGAAATGATAAACCAGTCATGTAACGCAGTTACTGAACAATATACTAAAAAAATACTTGCACTATCCTAGAAAAATACTAATTGTATACTTATGTTACACTTTGTTATTTGCTATTCTTTCCACTTTATTGCCTTCCATACCTTTTGATTATGGCGTTTTTGTCCTCTTTTTCTTGATGTGAAGTATTTCCTTTAAACACTCAGATTAGTATAATTGATTGTATTATAACGTCGTTGATTGGACCGAATTGGTTAACATATGGGCTCCTATGCGGCCTCCTCGACATTACCTGTGTTTGATTTTTAGTTGTAGTAATGATGGATAGTGGCTAGCAGTAGAATTCAGAATGCACATTTCGTCCTATTTGATACTCTACAGCTGGATGTACCTGCCTCCGAGCAATTATACTAAAATTATACCCATCGCACAAGAAGTGGCTATCGTGGCTCGGTGGTGTAGTGGATAACGCCCTGACATTTGAAGTGATCGCTCCCGTGTACGAATCGCAGTGAGAACAACATCACTCACTGGGAAACAGATACATCCAGCTGATGAGTCTCGAATAGGACGAAATACGCATCCTGGATCCACTGCTAGCCACTATCCATCATTACTACAACTCTGGGATTATATTCATATAATTTTTCCACTATGTCCTTATACTAAATCAACTCCGTTTTCTTTCAGTTGGTTTGAATAACTATCAAAAGACTTTATTGATCAATTCAAATTTAGTTAACCAACAATCGTAATAAAATGTGACGTTGTATCATTAATTTAAACAAACAAAAGTAACCAATGAGTATGTGAAAATTAAATTTTTCAAAATAACGCTCAGAAGATGCTTTCTATATTCACTTGCGAAATAACACGAAAGATGCATAGAATATCTTGTAGGAATATGTAATTTTAGTGATTGAGAAGCAGTCTGTGACAAATTCACAGTTTTATTAACATCCAGTATAAATCATATAAACAATTATGTAGCGTTTAACCTGAAGTTTTAATCATGAAAGAAATGTTTGAATTTTTGGACATCAAGTGACACAGTTACCTACTTACTGTAATGATGGTGTGCTTGAATTCTAGGCTGCTAAGCATTTTGCACGAAATAATTACAAAAACTTCAACCCTTTAAACTTGTTTTAATCATTCAGTTATGCCTTCAGATCATAATATTTACAATCGCGCATATTTAAGATGTTTACAATAATTTGTTTTGCAAGTTAATTATAAAATGAAGAAAAGACGTCGTGGTGGAATAGCAATGGGCTTTTAACCGTGTGACAGTACATCATATAACAATTCATAAAACAGTTCGAATAGCAGATTTTTATACTGGCTGAATAAAACACCAAACCTAAGGTCTCTACTCGAATTCATCCAATCGTGTAAGACTTATGGAGAGTTGTCATCAGAATTGACATCAATTAGTGGTGGCGTCTGGCTGAGGTGAAGTATGTAGACGACATTTTCAGTTAGGTGAGTAGAAGATATGAAGCAGTTGGAGAGTTTTGATCATAGATTTCTTCGTAGCATTTCTCACGTTCGGTGGAATCATGGTGTGAACAATATTGAGGTCAGGCGAAGGGGATTTGGTAATGATAGCAAGTCAGTCGATGAGGTTGTGATCCTTCATCTAATGGTATGGCTTGGACACATATTGGCCATGCGGAGCCACTGCCTACCTCGGCGCGCCATCCCAGGGAGAGTTGGAAGAGAGTTCGGGGGTGGCCAGACGAAGACGTCGTTGATTATTGCTTTGAGCCGTGTTTAGAGATGTACACTCTCAGGCTAGGGTCACAAAACGAAAGTAATCAGTGATTGGCGACGTGGCTGAAAACCGGTCACAATGACGCAAATATAATCACTCTTTGACTTCTTGTAAAGCTTGAATATTTGCACTAACTTTTATCTTCAAATTTCTTCTCCCATACACCTTTGTTACTTTGATATCAGTCTTTCTTAGCAACCTGTTCTTTGCATGCTACCGTGAAGTGTGGCAACTTGGGCCAATCCACTTCTGTGTATGAGGTTCTACGTTAATCTGTCTACCTGGCACCACCACATTTGCACTCGCTTTTCTATTCATTCCCTCCTTCAGACCAGACAATGATAATAATACCGCCATTATTAACATTACTGAAATTCTAAAATCATTTCGTTTTAAAATATTGTCCAGGGAGTAAATTTGTTGAAATATTACATGCTGCGAAATCCATACTCTATCAACCATACTGTATGGAATAAGTTACTACTATTATTATTACATTATTATTATTATTATTAGTTAAAAGTGGATAACTAGAAGCTGAAAGGCAACAGATTGCAAGCCGTGTCGTATGGGTTTTTTTGTGTTAATTCACTGAGGTATTTTGAGAATTTCCAGCTAGTAGCTTCTTAAGCTGTAGAAACCTACGATCTTTTCTATGTTCATTTCCAATGTCTTCCTTTTTTTAAATTTCTGTTTAGGTGATGTACAAACTGTTAACTGCAATCTGTGATGTGTTGGAACTGAAGAAGGCGGCAGCATGCAGGCAAAATATATTCCAACATCTGTCAATATTGTAAATACATACACATATAATCATGTGAATCGACAGTTTGTTTTTAATCTGGAAGTAACTGGTTGGCTAAGGTGTTCAATCACCTTGCCGCTTAGTGCAGATCGAAACTTGTTGTTCAAAGAATATCATATCAGTAGACTATAGGTGATACTACACACAATGCTACATTTGGGAATGCTTTGTCTTATTTAGTTTATGAACTTATTAGTAAGAGTGGCTTATATCCCCCAGGGAACGTATATTCTCTGCCTAATATTTGACACTCCAATCAGTGATATTGCCTTCGCGTTATTAATACTTGGTGAACTTTCATCGACTGAGATGGCTTGGACATGTACT